GTGTGGGTCCCTTAATGAATGGGGGAAGCAACCTTGTAACAGAGGACACAGAAAAGACTGACGTACTTAATTCCTTTTTCACCTCAGTCTTCACAGGAAGGTCAGCTCCCAGACTACCATACCAGACAGCACAGTTGCTTGGTGAGGAGGTGAGCAGCCAAGTGGCAAAAGAACAGGTTAGGAACTATCTAGAAAAGCTGGACATATACAAATCCATGGGACTGGACAGGATGCACCTAAGGGTGATGATGAGGGAGTGGGCTGATGTGGCTGCAGAGCCACTAGCCATCATCTTTGAAAACTCATGGCGATCAGGAGAGGTCCTGGACAATTGGAAAAGGGCAAACATAGGGCCCATATTTACAAAAGGGAAAAAGGAGGATCCAGGGAACTACAGACTAGTCAGCCTCACCTCAGTCCCTGGAAAAATCATGGAGCAGATCCTCAAGGAATCCATTGCTAAGCACTTAAGGGAGAAGAAGGTGATTAGGAACAGTCAGCATGGATTCACCAAGGGCAAGTCATGCCTGACCAACCTGATTGCCTTCTATAATGAGATGACTGGCTCTGTGGATGTAGGGAGACGAGTGGATGTGGTATACATTGATTTTAACAAGGCTTCAATACGGCCTCCCACAACATTCTTACAGGCAAGCTGAGAAAGTATGAGCTGGATGAATGGTCTGTAAGGTGGGTAAAAAACTGGACGGAGCATCAGGCTCAGAGGGTAATAATCAATGACTTGATGTCTAATTGGCAGCTAGTATCAAGTGGAGTGCCCCAGGGGTCGGTCCTGGGGCCAGTTTTCTTCAATGTCTTCATCAACAACTTGGAAGATGGCATAGAGTGCACCCTCAGTATGTTTGCATATGACACCAGTCTGGGGGGAGTAGTCAATATGTTGGATTCAGAGTTACCTAAACAAATTGGAGGATTGGACCAAAAGAAATCTTATGAGGTTCAAGAAGGACAAGTGCAAAGTCCTGCACTTAGGATGAAACAATCCCATGCACCAGGGCAGGCTAGGGTCTGTCTGGCTGGGCAGCAGCTCTGCAGAAAAGGACCTTGGGATTACAGTGGACAATAAGCTGAATGTGAGCCCACAGTGTGCTCTTGTTGCAAAGAAAGCTAACAGCACACTGGGCTGCCTTGGTAGGTGTGTTGCCAACAGGCCAAGGGAAGTGATTATTCCCCTCTATTCAGTGCTGGTGAGGCCACATCTGAAGTACTGTGTTCAGTTTTGTGCCTCCTTGCTACAGAAAGGATGTGGACAAATTGGAGAGAGTCCAGCGGAGGGCAACAAAAATGGTTTGAGGGCTGGGGCACATGTCTTATGAGGAGAGGCTGAGGGAACTGGGCTTATTTAGTCTAGAGAAGAAAAGACTGAGGGGATTTAATAGCAGCCTTCAACTACCTGGAGAGGGGTTCAAAAGAGGATGGAGTTAGACTGTTCTCAGTGGTGGCAGATGACAGAACAAGTCGCAACATACTCAAGTTGCAGCAAAGGAAGTTTAGGTTAGATATTAGGAAGAATTTTCTCACTAGGAGGGTAGTAAAACACTGGGACAGGTTACCCAGAGAGGTGGTGGACTCTCCATCCCTGGAGGTTTTTAAGACCTGACTAGACAAAGCTCTGGCTGGGATGATCTAGTTAGGGATGGTTCTGGTTTGAGCAGGGTGTTGGACTAGATGACCTCCTGAGGCCCGTCCCAACCCTAACTTTCTATGATTCTATGATTCTAATTGATAGGGTCTCCAAAAGGAACTGCAGGGCTTCTTGGTTGTGACAGTGAAGAGCATGGTAGCAATGCCTTTATTGATTATTGATGTATTATAGTAGCTCTCAGAGAGCCCCTGGAGATCAGTGCTGAATAGATACATAGTTAGAAACAATCTCTGCTCCAAAGAGTTTGCCATTTCAATAACCAAGAGAGACAAAGGAGCAAGGGGAAAGGAAAGATCATTATCTCCACATTCCAGGTGGCTTTAGATGGAAGGAGGGAGTTTATGGAGGTGGCTTATAATGGCCCATACGGGAAGCTGGACACCATGAATGACTCATGCCCCCAGTGGCTGGGGGGGGCACAGCAGCAGTGGGAGCATGGTGGTGGTAAGCGGGGAAGCTCCCGCAGATGCTACCAGCACTGTCAGCAGCAGGGCGGGGGGGGCAAGCACCAACCAAGGCTGGCAGATGCCACCAGCCTTTTTGTAGGGGGTGCACTGCCATGCTCAGGGGGTGCATGTGTACCCGCATGCACCCTCTACACATCGCCGTTGCTGGACACCCTTATGCTTACACCTGTGGATCAAGCAAGCAGGGTCTTTCTTTCAGGACGATGGTATTCTTCACAGCTCAGCACTCTCAACACTGGGCAGGGCCTGGGTTCAGTACTGATTCACATCAACCTCCAACTGACTCACTAACACCTCTGCTTGCAGCAGCCTGCAGGTTTCTTGAATGCCTCTTATCCTACCCAACCCTACTCAGCTAATGTGATAGGATGAAATCATAACACCAGGTGGCCTGGCTGCAGAACAGCAAAGGGGATTTCCATGCACTTTCTTGGAAACAGTGCATCCTGCCCTGGAGTGCAGAGAATGCAGTGCAGGACAGGATGGAGTGCCGAAGAGCAAAGGAGTGGAGTCCCTGAAGCCCTCCCAGCAGAGAGTGTGCCCCCACCCCCATCTGGAAGAGATTTGTCCTGCATTCCCAAGCAAGGATGATTGCCACTCATCTGGAATCAGCTCTCCCCAGAACAGCTAGCATGGGAAGGAGTGAGGGGAGTTTCCCCTCCCCCCTGAGATCATACTGGGGTCTGGGGTGGAGGTAGCCATCTGTCCAGAACTAAGTAAGAGAGATGCAGGCTGCAGGAGATGCATGAGGGCAAGGAGGGTTATTATATTACTTAAATGCATGAGAACTTTTAGGAAGACCTATCCCACCTCTCTTGCAGCTGCAGATAAAGCAGCTGCTCTGATAGGAAGAAGAGGTCTCCCAGATATCACCCCCTGCCCCTCTGGAATTTACAGGGCTGGCAAGTTTGTCATTCCAATAATAAGCACTATGAAAACATATGCTCTGAATCCAGAAATGTTGCCCTAATTATTCTGGTTCCCTTAGTGACAAGGAAAGATATTATCCCCATTGCACAGATGGGGGAATGGAGGCTGGAGAGTTTACCCCTCTGTGGCAGAGCCAGGGGCAGAACCCAATTCCTCACACTGTGCTCTAGCCCCAAGATTATCCTTGCCCTTAGCTGGGCCTTGCTGCTTCTCTGAGAGTAGTAGTGGCAAGGTGCCACTAGGAGACCACTCCTTTCCACCTCTGTCCCAGAACACACATGGCACCACCAGCAGGTTTTTCAAAGCATGGGAGAAAAGGAAGGTTTTACAAATAACAGCTATAGCAGTGAAACCCTCCAGAAGCAAGTCAACTATCATGCTGCTACTTGGAAAATCTCTGAGTACCTGCAGAGGCACAGAGCCCCTCTGTCTGCAGACTGGAAGGTGACACTTCATCCCCTTCCATTGGGAAGTTGTCTCTCACTTTCTCAAGCAGAAGCAGCAGCAAAGACTGTACTGGAGTTATGTACAGGGGACATGCTACAAAGCAAGGCAACAAGGAGGGGACTATGGTGGTAGAAGCCATTCCCCTCACAAAGGGCCAGGGCGCCTGGAGGTGATCAAAGAGACCCAGACATTCTCCTTTCCAACACCTAGGAGGGAGTGGGACCTCAAATTGATCAGACACCTTCAGCCAGATGGGGGCAGGGGGACAGGATGTTTGTTTTTTAAAGAAAATTTTTCATGTCCCAAGTCAAATCAGCCAAATAAATTCCTAATCCATGAGTCATTCACAAAGCAAATGTGGCCCTGATACTGGCAAATATTCTCCACCCCCACCTGGGACTTCATATGCTTGAGGTGTATATCAAACACAATGCCCCCACACATGGCCCCACCTAGCTACTCCATAAGACCCAAGGCCCAAACTTTAACCTCTTTCATTTCCACCTCTGGCTAGTAGCAGGTATTTAGGTGTTTTTCATGCCAGTGAGTCCAACTTCCCATCCCCACAGAACTGGCCACCCAGGCAGGGGGTTGGACCCGATGATCTGTTGTGGTCCCTTCTGACCCTAGCATCTATGAATCTAGGAACCTCCGTTCCATTCAGGCTCAGGGCTCTACCCCAGCGTTATGGGGTCTCTCCCTTGAAGACTCTCTATGCTGCCAACAGGACATTTCTCCCAGGAGTCTGCAGCCTCTGGGGATGGCACCAGTGGAACCTGCCGTACTACTCCTGGAAAGAAACCAGCCCATGGTGGTGACAAGTAGATGTTGTGTACTATGTCTGTGAAGAGACCCTGCATGATGCTACCAAAAAACTGTCCCGCCCTGATCCTACAGACTGCCACCAAAGGGGTCCTCCATCTCAACAAAGGCCAGTGCCATCAATGAGACCCTCCCTCCTGACCCTACCCAGAAGCACTGCTCAGTCATACTAAGAGACCCTCCCTCCCAGTCTGGCCAGAGTCCTCACCCTCTCTCCATTCCTTGTTGACACCATAGGCAACAAGTATGACAGTGCATGGTGGAGGCACCTTAGATCTTCCAGAGCCTGGAGTGTCCTCATACAACCTGTTTGTGATGAGATGTATCACCCAGAAAGGGCAGCACCTATTCTTTTTTGCCACAGCCAGCATGGTGCCCAGTGGGCTGGGGGCCGTGGGCCCTCCCAATGTCCGGTTCTTGACATACAGGCACACATCTAGAAGGGCTTCCTTCAAGGCAGCTGTCTACAGGACAGCGACTGGCTGCTGACTTGAGAAGAAAGGGCAGCGCTGGGGTTGGGGGAGGAGATGGAGTTCCTGAAGTTTTCTTTCCTGGACAGTTGGAATAAATCTCTTTTTCTCTGGCCTCCTTTCCCAGACTTGATTGGTCAGCAACTGCAGAGACCCCACCCACATCCCCTCCCTGCTCCCTTCTCCCTCCCTTCACTGGCACCCCTGCTATGCACAGAAGCCAAGGAACAGCACGGGAAAGGGGTAGACAGCCAGGGAGACAACTGTGGGAAAAGGGGGTCACCTCCCCTTGGAGAGGCAATGCTGACAGCATTTCACTGAGAGCACAGAGAAATTTTGGAAGCTTCTGGGAATTCTTTGGGTGAAAATCTATATGAGAAGGTAAAAGCCTAAAGTTTAGATGTTGTATGTCTACCTGTGTATGTGGGTATGTGTGTGTGAAAGTTAAGCAGAGCAGAGAGAAGTGAGGGGGATGGAGAGTAAAGAGTGGGGTGCGCAGCTGAAAGAATTTTGGAAAAGAGGAGAGAAAGAAAAGGAAAGAAAGTGAATGGAGGAAATGGCAGAAGAAGGAGAAGCGAAGTAAATGTGGAAGGGGGAGAGGAAGGGGCACATGGAGGAAGAGAAAGCATGGAAAGACTCAAGGGAAGGAAAGGACAGCAGGATGCAGAAGGAGATAGGGAAGAAGGGGTATCTGACCGGCAGAGCTGGGGTGGAGTGGGGTTCCCCCTGCCGTCTTTCCCTCATTGTGGACAGCCGTCCTTTCCTGCAGAGTCTGAGAGCCTTTGCTTTTTCTAACAAGAAAGGCAGTCGCAATGGGTGAGGGGCAGGGAAGAGATGCCCAAAAGGTGCTGTGTTTGGAATTCCAAACTCAGCCTTAAAGCGTGTGTGGTTGGAAAACTCCCTATGTGATATATATAGAGCAGCAGGCAGATCCTGACTCGCTGTATCCTGGAGCCATGGCTCCGCGCACAGTCCCAGCATTTCTCCTAATGACAGAGTAGCCTCCGGGAGATGGAAGAGGCCCAGCTGGTCCCATCTAGCCCATTCCCCCAGACTCTCCCCTCATTTATGTAGTCTTCCCAGGCTTCATCCAGCCGGTTTCTAAATGACTCTGAGCAATGGGGCTTCTAACACTTCCCCTGGAAAACAGCTCCATGGTCTGGCAGACCTCATGGCTAGGAAAGTTCTCCTAGGCACCAACCCAAATTTCCTGTTGCTCTTTCCCACCTCATCGCTCCTCAGACCACCCTGAACACCTCCCTTCTCTCCCTCTGCGGAGTATATCCTGCTGGGGCAGGAGCATAGTGAGGGAGGCTGATTTTGGCAGCCCTGGCCAATGAGACATCTGGACTGTTTTTCCCCTTTCTGGTTTCTGCTCTTCCAGGAGAGAATAACGATCTGTTCCTGGTGAGAGAAGCCAGTTGGAAGCCAGTTCAACTCAGGGAGTGGGAAGGCTAGAGATGGGAAAGGGAGCTGCTCTGAACTGAATGAACCGTTGATTTTGTGAGGTCCCTTTAGGAAGAAAGGGAGAAAAAGAGGGAGGATTTGAGGAGGAGAGTTGGGAAAAAAGAAATGTGCTCAGGCATTGCAGTGGTAGAGTGGTAGAGATAGATGGTCTTGTTCTCTTCAAGCTATAGTTGACCCTTTGCCCAGCGAATCACGAGCTCCACTTGGAAGAAATAGCTGAACTCGATCTGTAGCTGAGAAGGGAGAGAGGGGAGGGGAGGGCTGTGAGTGCCTGTGTTGACTTTGGGCACAGTTTGGTCGGAAACGCATCAGCAGGCGCTGAGAGCGGAATTAAGGGAAAGGGCAAAGTGGGAGACCAGAGAGAGGGCTCAGGGCCTGCTGGAAACCTGCAACCCTGCTTGGGTTGGCATGAGGCTGGTTTGGCACTAGGCTCCTCAGCCACTAGGGAGGGCAGTGCCTGCTTGGCTAGAAGCTTCCAGGGGTGGTTGTGCTGGGGAGGTCCAAGCTCCAACTTCGGGCTAGTCATCTTTGTGGTAGGGAGGGAGGGAAGGGATGAAGAGGAGAAAAGGCCCTGCTCTCCAATGATCATGTCAGCCAGGAAATGGGCTCCTAACCCAACCCCAGCTGAGACAGTCATTCTACCCACTTTCCCTCTTCTTCCTGAGCTGTCTCCCTAGCAATATTGCATGCCAAGACATCTGGGCTCAGCCTAGTATGAAGAAAGGGAGGATCCTTTGTGTGGGATGAAACTAGGGGGTGGGCCATGTTCAGGCATGAGATGGGCCCCCAGCCACATGCATGTCTTACAGTGATAGGGACAGGAATGCCATCTCAGGGGTCTGACTGCCCACACTACATGTGGGGCTCATTTCTTCCTGTGCCTGTGGGAGCTCAGCAAGGCTGCAAAAGGAGTGCAGGGCTTTGGCATAATGCCCTCTTCTTCCTACCTGGCTCTGGCCCTGGCCCAGCAAGGGCAGACGTGAGAGGGGTCATTCTGACATGTGTCAGACATGGCTGGAAGGACAGTGGTGAGCCCACACAGTATATGCCACACAGCAGCAGTTTCTCACCCTTAGTCTTCCCCTGGGGGAAAGGATCCTGTGGATCCCTGTTAGAGACAGGACTGAAGGAGCCCCATCCTTAATACCGTACATGCCTGGCAAGCCTCGGGCTAACGTTTCTTCCAGCTTCTGGGGCAGCACAGGGCACTGGCAGCCAGGGCAATGGAGGCCAAAGCAAAACAGGCTCCCCCAGCCGTTCATGCTCCCCCGCCCCAGAAGAAATAGCCAATAGGTGCAATGGATTTCAATGGGAGTTTTGTTTTCCATTCGCCAGACTCTAACTCCTGGCAGATAAGAGGGGCCCGAGGTGAGCAAACATGGCTGGCTCGGTTAGGCAGGGACACGTGGCACCAGCAGAGACGGTGGCTCACAGCCAGTGCTCCTGGAGCTTGGCTCTCCCTGGCACCTGCTTTCCCTCAAGGTGACCCACAGGCAGGGGTAGCACAGGGATGTGTGGTGGGGCAGGAAGCACAGAGGGGAAGGCTGTCAGGGAATGGCAACAAGGCCACAGCCAAGATACAGGACCACAGAGCCAAGGCCCCTTAGGAATGCTGCTACCATGGCTCAATTATGGTGTTCCTCCTTGTGCTACTTCCCCAGCTCCCCACTACTACTCTCTGCACCTTCATCCTCCCCATGCCTGCTTCATTGGCCCCAGCCCCTGCACATGGAGAAGTGGGGATTCCCCCTGCTCCATCACTGGAGGTCTTCAAGAGCAGGTTAGATAGACATCTTCCAGGGACTGGTCAGGTATGAATTGGGTTCAGTTGCTCTTGCCTTGGGGTAGGGATGGAGGAGATGACTTCTTAAGGACCCTTCCTACCCTGTTTTCAATGACTCTGTGACACTTCAGCTCTAAGGTCAGAACCGTTGCTATGGCTGTAGGTATTCCAATCTCCAGCAAGCCTCTTGGTCCAGCTGCCTCTCCAGTTCAGTCCACAGAAGAGGCTGCATGGTCTGCCTCCAGCTCCTCCTGCTGGAGAGACCCAGCTTGCCTCCTTCCTGCCTCATCTAGCATAAGACTCTGGGATGAGCCTCCCTGGTGAGAAGAGCCCTTTCAGATGTCATCAGCCTTTGGCGTAGTGACAATTCTGAATGCCCAACAGAGGCTGGGGCAGAGATGCTGGAGGCAAGAAGTGCTCAGCAGTGGAGCAACCTCTTCCTAAGTGCAACCCCTCACTGCAAACCTGATCTGATTGTCTAGCCTACTTCTTCCAGGTCTGCAAAGCAGGGTGCTGGCCCTGGTATGACAGGCACGCCGCCCAGCCTAGAGACCACTGGGCTGACCTTCACTTACCTGTTATATGCCTATCACTGTAATAGCTCTATACACATTCATACCCTGTCAGAGGCCTAGGTTCCAGGCTTAGCTTTGCAAGTGGTTGCTTTTAGGACCTTTCCCTTTTACAGTCGCTTCCCAAGTCTGTGCCTCAGTTTGTCTGTCTACAAAGTGAGGGCGACGCTATGTCCTTCTCCCACCAGAGCACTCATGTTTGGGATGTGGGCATTTGCAAAGCACTTTCTGGTTCACAAGGAGAAGTCACCATAGAAATAAAAATAGATTATTGGTGCTGTTTTCATATAGAGTCAGAGAATACTGATGTGAATGACAATGATGATGTACTTCCTCTTCCACCAATCCATGTTTCTGAGAAGGACTCTTTCCTCCGTGGCATCTCCTTTCTTGTTTGTAAGAGAAGGTACCAGGGGCTGGATGAAGGTTTCCTCAGGCAAAATGTTCAGGGCTAGATTCAAGCAGAGGCTCAGAGGAGGGGTGAGGGACAGGAGAGAGATGGATTTGAGTATGGGGCACCTGCAAAGATGGAGGCATTTGTGCAGGTGAGGAGTCTCACTGGAGTGGTCAGCACATGCCTACATCTTTGCACAGCCAGGAGCCAGGGCAGGAGTCAGGCTGAGTGTCTGTGAGCCTTAGGGACAGGTTTCAGGTTCAGGTGTGGGGTGCTGGCAGATGCAGGTCCCTAGGAGCACCAAGTGAGTTCTGTAGGAGGTAGAGTCAGGCACAGGGTAGGAGTGGGGCTGGGCACTGGTTCAGGGTGTCACTTCCACTTCCACTGGCCTATGCATTGACATTGGCCATCCTAGGCAGAAATTCCAGCCCAGCTGAGCATCATGGAGGACTGCTCTCTTGACAGCAGCCCAATCAGAAAATCCCATCTCAGGGCTTCACCTACCCTTGTGTGTCTTTTGTAGGCCATCTTGCCTTGGAATCAAGAAGGTCACTCTGAAAGCTCCTCTTCTGACACCTTGGACCTGCTGCCCCATCTTGTGAACCAGCTCCTACACTCGAGGGAGGAGGAGGAGGTGGAAGGAACGGAGAAGACAGAGGACAATGGATTAACATTAATTCTTCAGCTTTGCTCACTTCTAGCCAGATGGAGCTGTGACCACAGTAACCAGTGACATCAGATTCCTCCAAGATACAATCACTCCAGCTCTTCTATCCTACCAGCCTGGTTGGGGAAAAGCAAGACTGCCCTCCCAGCACCTCTTAGGGCACTTTCTGAAGAGACCAGAGGTAGAGATGAGGATCCAGAGGTTTTTACTCAGTAGAAAAAGCTGCCAAGAGCAAGTTGGTTAGGCCAAGGCTCCTTGGCAGTTTAATGAGAGTAGTGTGCAACAGGAACCCTAAAGGACTGAGGCACGGAAGGAAAGACAGGCACACACTCCTCAACAGCTGATCTGAGGCAAGTGTGTCCTCATTGCCAAAGGGCTTGAGGGGCTGCATAGTGAGAATCACCCCAACCTGGCCCACAGGACTCAAGTGATGGGAGTCATGGGAGTCTGACAGCCCACTGCAACCCCTCTGGGATCTGTCCCCTCCCCACTGAAGGCCGGTTTCCTGGGAGGAGGCATTGGGTAACAACGGGGTGCGATATGAGCCTCGGGAAGTTACCAGTGATTAGCTGGGTGTCGGGCTCCCATGGCAAGCGGCGGCTGAAGTCAGAGCTGACTCCAGACATGATCAGCCCACCCCTGGGGGATTTCCGGCACACCATGCATGTGGGACGTGGCGGGGATGTCTTTGGGGACACCTCCTTCCTCAGCAACCATGGCGGCACCGACACACCCAAAGGCAACAGCTTCTTTGCCCGGACACTGCGGCATGTGCGGAGGACGCCACTGAGGAACCGGGGCAGTGGGGGCAAGACTGAGGCCTCCCCTGCCCCCCCAGACATCTCACCCATCATCAAGAATGCTGTGTCACTGCCGCAGCTCAGCGAGGGGACATATGGGGATGGCGATGGCCTCATAGGGAAGTATGCCTTCACGAGCTCCCCCAACAGCCTCTCAGAGACACACCGTGCCTATGGTGAGTAGTCCTAGGAGCAGAGCAGGGCCTTAGAAACTGCTGTTTTCAGATGTGCCAGGGATTCTCAGGCAAACAGTTTTCTTATATTCTGCCTCAGTTTCCCTCTCTGTGCCTTGGGAATAAGAGCACCCACCTTTCAGCTCTCTGGATGAGAAGGACTGCTTAGGAGTTGCATGTGAGCCAGGGAAACCCCAGTGAATCACAAGATGAACTTCTTCTGCAATAGCCTCTCACCCAGCACCCAGCTTTACCTGCCCTGACTTCGGTTAAACAGGGAATTGGGCCCTGCTGGGCTCAAGCCATGAGGGTGGATATGGAAGACTTCCCCCTTCACACAGCAGCTCTGACCCAGTGCCAAGTGGCAGTCACCCAAGAGAGCTCTCCTCCAGTGATGGAGAATGATGGGGAGAGAGGGGTTTCCAACTGGGTCTAGGCTGGGGGGGCCTCACTGCCCCCTTGGCTGCCTCAGGGAGAGAACAGGGATAGCAGACTACCTTCCCCTCCAGCACAGGTCCTTTCATTGGGATGGCAGAGCCCCCTGGCAAGGACAGTGTCCTGCAGCTGGGCCTGCTCTTGCCCCAGGCAATAAAAGCTAAGGGGGCATTTAGTGGGTTTTACTCCGGGCTGTCCATTAGGCAACCAGCAAACTTCTCCCAAAACAGCCTGACTGTCCACACCCTACCGCAGCTCTGCCAATGCCTCTTGCTGCCAACCTGACCCAACTCTGACTATTCTAGTCCCAGCCCCCTCCATGCTGCCCTGCCAATGTCCCTGAGCCCTGGCTATTGTCTGAGCAAGAAGCCTGGGTGGTGACGTGGGGCCTGCTGCTTTTAGCACAAAGGTTGCTTTCTTGGAACTGCATCCCCCAGCTCAGCATTTCCAGGCGTGGTAACGTGCGGGGCAGGGGGAACAATGGCACAACGCGCCAGACAGTGGGAACAATGGGAGAGCGACAGGTCTGGGTGGGACGGGAGGAGTCAGGGCCAGTTCTGGAGCCTGAGCTGAGGGCGTCTGCCGCAGCCTGTTGCTGCACAGCTGCAGCTTCCAGGACGTGGCTGCTCCTCTACTGTGGCACAGGCCAAAGTGGCTGTGGAGCAATGCTGCCACCTGCCGGACAACAGTTGTGCCACAGTGACACTGGGACCCCAGGCCGGTTGGCCCATAAACATCCCAGCTCTCTGCTGAGACCTGTCCCAGCTCTGAGCCCCCATCTCTGCTGGGCTGTGGGAGCCAAGTACAGACCAGTCCTTAAATGCTGTGGCATGAGCCTGCCTTCCCCAGTCAATGTGTCATGGCATACATTCCTCATTTTTGTTAATAGAGGTCATTCTTCCCTGGTGCAGACTGGCCAACAAATGGTGAAATTGGTCCTAGTTTTCCAAACAGGCTGCTCCACAGGGGTAACCCCGGTCCCAGTATAGCCCCATGGACTTGCACATCGCTGTCTCCTCCAGTTCATATATAAAGTCCTTGGTTCATCTCAGCCCCCTCATACACTAACCATCTCCCTCTCCTTTGGACCCAGCTGGCTCTCACACAGTGCCACAGGCATTCCTCCCACTAAGGTTTTGATGTCCTTCCAGGGCTGGAATCCAGGTTCTGCACCATCCCTCGCATCCCTCGCTCCGAGAAGACCCAAGACAACTCTTTCCCCGTGGAACCGGAGCTCACACGCTCAGACTCCCTGTTGTCCTTCCGGCTGGACCTCGGGCCTTCCCTCATGAGCGAGCTCTTCCATGTCATCAGTTTCTCAGAAGCTGACAGCAAGAGGCAGGAAACAGAGGAAGACTGTGCCCTGGCCAGAGGCTGGGCTGCATCACCCCTCCACCTGCATGATGAAGGGACTGAAGATGCACTTCCTCGGGGATTGGGGGTGCCCCACACTGACCATATAGATGGCAACACAGCATCAAGCCTCTGGGGCCCCTCCAGGCAGGAGGGCAGCCTCTCAGAGGCAAGCTCACCATTGGGACTCTCCGTGTGCGCTAATGGAGAGGCCCATGCCATCCAACATGCTGAGGAAGGGCCTGCCTGTGCAGGAGGACAGAACCAGAGTCCTGGATGGGAGTCAGAGCCCTCTGAGGGGGCAGGAGCACCGTCGAGAGAGACCCCATGGCAGGGGCACCAGCATGATTGCATCATGGGGGCTGGAGAATTCAACCGGGCAGCCCAAATGCTGGTTTGCCACTATGGGGGGACAAGCACCCACCACAGCCTGGAAGAGGAGGAGGAGGAGGATCCCCGGGTGGCGAGAACTCAGGCACCGTGGGAGAGCCCAAGCAGCAGCTACTGGCAGGTGAAGGCAGCAGTAGAGAGGTGCTCCCCCGAGGCAGCATGGAGCCAGGGAGAGGAGGAGGTTGAGGAAGAGGAGGTCGAGCTCTCGAGCATGCAGGAGGGCGACACGGTCACCGGCGAGGGCCGCAGTGACTCCTTTGAGTATGCCAATGAGGAGGAGGAAGATGATGAAGTCAAGGTCTGAATAGTCACAGTGTCCCAGGGTCTTGGAATGCCCTTCCTCTTTCGGAGAGATGCGAACTCTTTCGGGCCCAGCAGCCCTCATGAGCTGACACCAGACTGCCAGGTGAACTCATGATAGAGTCGTGTTTCTTTGGAGTTGTGCAGGGCTGGGATGGGTGGGGGAGAGGGGGCAGGAGGAATCTGGTGACCCTAAAAGCTCCTAGGGCAAAGGTTTGCTAGGGATGGAGGCAGGAAGAGCAGGTGGGCAGGAACGTAATGACAGATGCCTGGGCAGGAGCATGAGCCCAGGGTGGTATTTAAGCAGGGGGTGTTGGACTGGAACTAGGGGGCACCTCACCCTCCTGCCCCATCAGCCCCACCCCCTCCTCCCACAGCCTGCGACATGCTTGCAATGGCTCTGGCAAAGAAAGGGTGGTGGCACAGAGCCAGTGACTCTCTGCTGCTGGGAGAGATGTCACCTCCTTTCTGTGCTGCCACTGCCCAGGATGCAGTACTGGCCAGTTAGGTCTCTGCAAGTGGGCTCTGCCTTCCCCAGGGAGCTGGTGGTGTCCAGAGCTGCTGTGAGGTGATCAGGAATCACACACGCCCCTTTCCCTCACACTGCCATCATCGTCAGAAGCCAGGCACCAGCCCAAGGGGCCGGCAAAGGAATTGTCCTGAAAAATCAAAGAAAGCCCAAGCCCCCAACAAGAAAATGACCAAGTGACTCCAGAGGGAAGTGGGGATTAAACCAAGAGCAGATCAGAAGGAGAGACAGGGCCTGCTCCCCTGTACAGCCACAGCTTTTGTCCTGGGGCCAGCACATTCCCTGAAATATGGAAGTCAGGAAGGACCTCAGAGTCACCATACTGATACAAAGCAAATCAGGAGGCTGCCTTTCTCCAGGGCTGGGGCTGTCTGCCTTTGCACTTCTCCCAGTCCAAAGAGCAAAATCTTGGGCCTGGGAACTGAGCCCAGTTCTGCCATGCAGAACTACAGAGCTCCGTCCCCAGGGTGCTGGGCTGGACTCACATTGCTCTAGCCCTCTCCAGCCCTGCTGATGTCACTTTGGACCCAACCCCATGAGGGAAGGCAATCCAGTTCTTACGGGTCTACACCCAGGGCTCCTCCCATGTAGGCTCTCCAGTCCCGTCCTTGCTCTTCGTAGAACTGGGCAGGAATCCAGTGCTGGGTTTTCTCCTCCTCCTAGGGATTGCCCCAGTCCATTTCAGAGCACAGGAATCTAGTTCCAGTTCCTCTCCTTCACCCCAGTGAACCAGGAGTCAGATGGCATTGTCCTCCCATCTGATTCAAAGCCTGCATATGCCATTGTCTTAGACAGTGGGACCCCTGGGTAGGATCCTTCTTGTGCCCAGCAGAAATCTCCCACCCTATTGCCCTCCTTGCTTGATCTGCTGCTCAGACGGAAAGGCAGACATGTCCCATCTCCTAGATGCAAGCTAGAATCTGGCCACAGGCCCAGCTACTGCACTATGCAGATTTTGAGAGGAGCTCCTAACCCCTCATCCCATCATGGCAATCCCTGTTCCTGTTGCACTGTCTTCAGGGAGATGCTCAGAGCAGTGACATGGGAGCTCAGTGAGGGGGATATGCAGACATCAGTGGCTTTGGGGCAAAATTCAGCACAGCTAGGGTAAATCACGCCATGGCCCTGATCAGGGGCTTGAATGAGACCTGCAGAGCAGGTGCATCATGTACTGCATCTGACACACGCAGAAATCAGGAGGAGCTGCCTTCTCAGGCCATGCCTTTCCCCTCCTCCCGATCCTGTCCTCCAGGACAGCCCCATCTAGCATAATCTTCAGGACTTTGCCTTCTTCAGAACAACCCCAGTACCACTAACCCTAAGCTTTCAAAATCAGGCCTCAGCGCCCCTTCCCCAAAGCATCATAAGATCAGCTTAACAATGAGGAGGTTTTACAATCACTCGATGGGGAGTAATCTTCATTCATCTCCTGGTTCTGGACACTTGAGGGGTTGGTCCCCTTTCAAGGTTTTCCCCTCAGCCAAGGACAGCTAGAAACTATCATGTTTGGTTTAATAGCAGCTGAGCTTCTTAGGTTCCCCCTGAATCTGGTGGCTGGGATGCTACAGGAAAATACCAACTATTGTGAGAATTGCTATAAAGCCACCAGAGCTGGCCACACTACAACCCAGGTAACCAGGTTTAAGCAATGAGATGCCAGGGTCCCTGACCCCGCACTGTCCCCACCCATTCCCTAGCATGAGGGACATCCTCTTAAATGTAATATGCCCTTGCACCGCCCCCACTCCCCCTCCCCACGTACATACACTTAGAACAAGAAGATTTTCTCTTTGCTACAGTGACCAGTTTAGCCAGCTGAAATCTGGGCTGTCTTGGTCCTTCCATCTGCCCCAGGGACTCCCTCCCACCTCCCCTTCTCCCCCTGCCTCTCCCTCCCCACCATGCTTTTTGGTGTCCCTTCTTCCCAGGGTGGCTGGTCCCCCTGCTCCTAGTGTCCCCAGCTGGGCATCTCCATTGTTGCAATGTGGCCTCTTCGGAACAAGCCACTCCCCACGCAGTCCCGCGTGCTAAGTCACTCGCACAGAGAGGCCTTTGTGCGACATGATTGGGGGGTGAGGTAATTTCACTGTCCTGCACAGCACAGCCGTTGTTCTTCCCAGGGACCAAGAGGCAGTGACTGGAGAGAGCCATTCCCACACTTGCACTGCCCAGTCGCTCGGGGCCCTGTTTCCATCAGGAAGCGCCCGAGAGTATAATGGACAGACTGCGACATGCATGCGTGTGTAGGACAGTCCTGGCAGACCACAGTCCACTGCCCCTTCCCATACAGGTCCTCAGGGGTCACAGCCAGCTGATCTCATCCAGCCCCCTCAGCCACATGCCATGCAGCTGTTCAGCCTTTCCATCCCAGCACTGCAGGGGGTGGGGGTGCTGTCCCAAGGAGACCGGCCTCTGTGCCAGAGCTCGGTCTGCAGAGACAGATAGGGCCTGCTGTTCAGAAATGCTGACAGGCCCTAACACCAACTGAAGTCCCTGGCAGCTGCAAACACTGCCAGCCCCTTGTTCCATCACACGCTGGTCCCAGGGTCTCTCTCAGGATGGTCCCTTCTCCCTGCTCTTTTTGGATTGTACCATAAGCTCCAAGCCAAAGATCTGACCCCTAGGACTATCCCCTCTGTCTCCACGCTGTACCCTGTGCACTTATTATTCTTATTAAAGCCATTTTTTATACTAACTTCTCCCGGGGTGGTTCTTCCCCACCCCCTGCAGTTCCCCACCCATCTATTCCTTCATGCTCTG